ACTGTGTGGGACTCTGATAGCAAAATCTTGCTGAGTTTTCGGAGAAGGAGGAATAAGCTTTTGGAAGTAAGAAAACGGACTGTGAATTATCAGCGAGATGAACGCAACGGAATAGACTGTGGAACTAGGAAAAGCAGGACTGGAGTTTGACACATTACAATGATATCTATTGGAGAGACTGACTTCCTGTCTCTGCTGTTTAGTCTGGACTTTTTCTTGGCTGGATTGTGTGGGACTCTGATAATACTGGCATGGTTGTAATTTAAATTATTGGGCTAAAAGTTGATCTATATACTATAATACCTGGGTAAGGAGGAGAGAAAGTATCTAGGGGAGGTTGATGATGATGGGTTTGGTTTGTTGATAAAATAGTGGAAACTAAAGAGTATTATTTATACAGATCATTCTCATTGGAAAGATGGAAATGGCCCCTGAAAAATTTTAATAGCAACTGTTGGGGACTTTTCCAGATAAAGAATGGCAGGTTACCATGCAAATGATAATAATAACAGGATTTCAGCAGGTAAATGAGCGTCTTAGCAAGATGGAAGATTTGATGAAAGAGTAATCATCAGATGTTAAACAACAGTTAAAGGAAACTGTATTAACTCCCGAACTGTGTTTATTGAATGCGATGTCAGGTAACATAGATGGGATTAAGTGTTATCCAGTAAGCTACAACAGTCAGAAAATGTGATGTTAAAAATCAGATTACTGTCCTGGATTCATCCTTACCTGATTGGAAGAAAACAGAGCCACGGAAACAAAAGAGGTATACTGAGAAAATATGGGAAGTGATTGAAATGGATACTTTTTCAGGCGTGCTGAATGTATGTCCAAGACAGAGGGAAATTGAAAGAGGGGATGTATTTTACAATTGGTCACGGTTTCCTGATAGTGTTAGAATAACTTAGATGTCAACTAAAACATAATTGTAAGTTGACAGCTAGAGGGTAATCAGTTTAAAAAAAGAAGTAGAAAGTTGATTTTTTTTATTGAAAAATGAATAGATTGGATGCTTGTATAGTAAATATGAATAGATTGGATGATTGTATATTCTGTGTTCTCCTATCCTTAAAACCCCTTTTCCATCCCTTCCATTTCCTTTCACCTTTTGTATTCCCTACCCTATTCCTAGTAGTTTAAAAATAAAATATTTTTAAGAAATATATACTGTACAATATACTCCATCCTTTACCTGACAGCTCATGAATATGGCTGGTTGAGTCAAAGTTCACATAGCTCTCATCCCATGGGACCCGCCTTTTTGTAACTCAAATAGGAAAGTACCAAAATAACTCAATGGAAAATAATCCACTTGGTTTCTCCAATTTTTTCTTGAATACACATAGGAAACACCTGAATTTTTAGTGTGATGTGGAATTAAAGTTTCCCAAAACTGTACCCTTTAAACAGGGTACTGTTTTATAAAGTGAGTCGCATCATTGCCGATTGCAAAATATAGTCCTGTCTGGAAAGAGAGCTAACTGAGTGCCTGCTTAACTACAGAAAATTGTAAGGATTCACCACTGAAAGTGAGTATGGTGTTTGGAAGGTCTAGGTTCTAGTTCTCATAAGTGGTTCTAGTTCTCCTAAGCAATTAAACACATTGAGTGACCTTGAGCCAAGTGCTCTTTCTCAGCCTGACATCCTTCATAGGGTTGTTGTGAAGATGGATGAGGAGGAGGAGAGCCATGCATGACACTTTTCACTCATGAAAAGAAACACTAGATAAGCTGTCTGGGGTTCCTGTGCTTGGAGAAAGATGAGATACAGATAAAATATGTTATGTGCAACAAAAATATTCGTTCTCAGACAATGGTGGTGACATGATTTGGAATAGCTAAGTGCTGCCCGTGGCACATATGAGGTAGCTGCTCTAAGTCAACAGCACCAGAGTTAGACGATGGTCCAAAAGATTGGCCATACTTAGTAGTAGTAGGCGTCCTTCAGTCTCGAGAGACGATAGTAACATGCTCTGAATAGAGGTCTTGGAACAGCGTCTAGTGTGGCTGAGAAGCCCAATACGAGAGTGACAGTCCCTTCCACACTAAAGACAAATACAATCTGTCCCCTGTCCAGCTGCCTGATTTTGCTGGTTTCAGGACTGACTCTTTGCCTTGGCCTGCTGAACAAGCGTCTCTTCACATTGGGAGAGGCCATGATGCACCGCCTGGCTCCAGGCTGAATTCTCAGATGTCAAGGTTTCCCATCTGTTGAGGTCCCTTCCTAAGGCCTTCAGATCCTGCTTGCAGATATCCTTGTATCACAGCTGTGGTCTCCCTCTGGGGCGATTTCCCTGCACTAATTCTCCATACAGGAGATATTTTGGAATCCGACCATCAGCCATTCTCACAACATGCCCAAGCTAACATAGTTGTTGCTGTTTCAGTAATATATACATGATAACAATTCCAGCTCGTTCTAGGACTACTGTATTTGGAACTTTGTCCTTCCAGATGATACCAAAAATTGGCATTGTGGCCATACTTAAGCTACAATAAAAGGTGCTGAGCTTCTATCCTCTTTTTTTTTCTTTTGGACTGTCTTATCCCTGTAACTAGACCCCAGAACCACCTATCTCATGATGCAGGTTCTCTGCCTTTTGTGTGGGAGGCACAGGATTTTGTGTGGGAGGCACCTGATCAGATAACCAGGTTCAGCCTTTTTTCAAATGTGTAACTTACTACAGCAAAGGAGAGAGAAAATTGATCAGGAATATAGTATAGGATTTGTATAAGGTGCCAAACATTCCATATTTCAAAATGTATACTGTGTTTTGCTATGTAAACACAAACACACATTCACACACACACACACACACTCATATATATATCCACAGCAGCAAATTAAAATAACTAGTCTGTATGAAGCACTGAGCAGTTAGCAAAAATACTGCTGTATAGCTACAAATTAGTACAGTATTAGTACTTAGTGGATGTTGTAAGAGGAAAGTTAAAAAATACTTTGAATTCATTGGAACTGAGGAGACAAATTTGTGAAACAAATTATATAGTTGTGATAAGAATTGATTGACTTAAACAACAAGATCGAAAATCATAAATGGATAAAAGACAGAACATCACAGTTGTATTGTACAGATAACATGGGGATTTAGCAGTCCTCTTTCCAACTAATCTTAGTGCAAGTTTCACTGAATTTAGTAGGAGTTTTTTTCAGAGTAAGCAAGTAGAGGATTGTGCTGGCAATTAGTTTATAAGTGGGATATTATTGAGTGCAAATGTAAAGCACAGTATTTTAAGTTTCTTTCTGGGACTTCTAGATAGAACAAAAGTTTGTTGCAGCATACAGCATACTTTCCCAGGAAATTACCTGGGACATATATATGTCAGAATATATATATATATGAGATATATGTCAGAATTTGACCTACCATAAGGCAGTGAGAGACTGCTTCTCTTGGCAGTAAAATACAGAGGGGGGGAGAATTTTTAAGGACAGAGCTGTGCATCGTGTGCCCTTTCACTTCCTAAGCTAGATGCCTTCTGTTGGGTATAGGGCTGGATGCAGCCAGTGCTGGAAGCAAGATTTAATGCCACTGCTGTTGGTTTCTGAATTGGGAAAACAGTGAGGCAGGGGCACAAGTTTGTTCTTTGCCTCTGGCATCAAAGTGTCCTGAAATAGCCCTACTAATTATATCTGTTCTTCGTTTTGTGTATGCATGTATGTAGACCTAGGAAAGAAAAGCAACACAGTGAAAATACATAGATATTATCTGAAGTCATTTGGAATTTCACTTAATTTGAATCACTGAGTTTTTTCTTTACCAGAACAATGTGGATGGTCAGAGTACATTTAAATTGCATTCTCTTCCAATAGCTCTAGATCTTTCTAGATTATTTTGGTGCTTTTGCATACTTGAAAGTTTCAGAGTATTTTGAAGATAACTGTTAAGGATGGATTCATCTCCCAATGTACCATAGTGTAATGTAATGTTAGTAATATAATGGCTAGAATCCAGTTGCCAATTTCTATGTGTATAAGTCAAATTGTGTAACTTACTACAGCAAATTGCCACTAACTAACAATGTGGAGGTCACATTACTATGTGAGGTGCACAACTGATTGCATAACAAACATACATCTCATGATGTGACTAGCATGCATTAATTCATAATTAACCAACAGGATTCTGACCATTTGAGATTGGCGGCAGTGTAGTTACCCATCAGAGGTCCGGTTAAAACAACTCTTTTGCACTTCCCTTGACAATTCATTATAAGGAAAAATGGTAACACTTTTATCTCTTTGTCTATGTGTTCGGTGCCCTCAAGTTGGAACTCACTTATAGCAGTCCTTATAGGGCTTTCAAGATAAGGGAGACATTTAAGAAATGGTTTTATCAGTTCTACTCCCCCAGGCAGTTTCCATGGCCAAGTGGAGATTCAAATCCTGTCCTTCAGAGTCTTAGGCCGTCACTCTATCCACTACACCACACTAATCAGATAACCAGGTTGAAAAGAGGATAGTCCTTCAGAGTCTTAGGCCATCACTCTATCCACTACACCACACTGATCAGATAACCAGGTTGAAAAGAGGATAGGGCTCCTGCACCTTCAGTTGTTGTACAGAAGATGACATTTTAGCAGAGTTGTCATATAACACACATCTGATGAAATTTTCCACACAAGTATTAAAGGTCAGAAGTTCTGTCTTCTGGCTACACTAATCTGTAAAAACTGAAACAAGAGTTGGTACATATAGAGGAACTTCATTAAAATTTTATAGGATGCGCTTTTCTTGTCAGACACTACAGTGTATGTTTCTCTTCAGAAAAAAAAATCAGGAAAAGGCCCTGTGGTTCCCAAAACAATACAAATGCAGGAACAGATGATGCTTTTATTGGCCCACTAAAATAAATAAAACAAAAACAAAAAACAGTGAGCTTTTGATGATATTTCATCTTCCTCAAGTTGTATACCAAGTTTGGTTATGTTTTCTCTTTAACTGTTTGTTGTTCCCTTTTTTTTTTTTTTTAGATTGGCCGCTTAGTAATTGGGCAGAATGGAATTCTTTCAACCCCAGCAGTATCCTGCATTATTAGGAAAATCAAAGCAATTGGTGGAATCATCTTGACAGCAAGTCACAATCCTGGCGGGCCTAATGGAGATTTTGGTATTAAATACAATATTTCAAATGGAGGTTCGTAATCCTGACCCTGAACTGCACTCCTCGCCTCTGAACATTTTTCTTGGTATTGACAGATACACACGAATGTTGGTCACACAATGTTCATTGCTGTTTGTGCATGGTTCATCTGACTTGCAATTGCCAAGGCATGACATGGCCCTACTGAAGGAGTCCTATGGGAATAGAGCAGTAGCTGAAGTGAAGGAGTAATGAAGAGATGTAGCCTGGAGGGAGGGAAGGAAGGAAGGACATATGTATGTCTGGGGAACACTTGTGGACTTTCCAGGATTGTTGGCTTGCATCTCGCTAGCCGGCTTAGCCAGTCCTGAAGTATGACAGAAGTCTGAATCCAACTGAAGGGCACCTTGTCCTCTAACATGTTCTGCTGGCCTTACACAAATGGAGGAATAGAGATTGTATACTATGCTCTTTTTAACGATGTCCTAATAGGACTTAGAGGGAATGTGGTGGTGCTGCGGGTTAAACCGCAGAAGCCTGTGTGCTGTAAGATCTGTAGATCGTCAGCTGTAAGATCGAATCCATGCGACGGAGTGAGCGCCCGTCGCTTGTTCCAGTTCCCGCCAACCTAGCAGTTCGAAAGCATGCAAATGAGAGTAGATAAATAGGGACCACTGGCCACGTGACCACGGAAACTGTCTTCGGACAAAACTCTGGCTCTATGACTTGTAAATGGGGATGAGCACTGCCCCCTAGAGTCGAACACGACTGGACAAAAATTGTCAAGCGAACCTTTACCTTTACTAATAGGACTTATCATTGTTGGCAGACCCCCTTCAGTAATTATTCACTTGCGACTTGTCAGAGGATGTGATTAAAACTAGTTTGCTTTTTGATACATTTATGTATATACAAACTTCTGTCTTAGAAGCACAAAAGTGAGTCATCCTTTTTTTCCAGGCCGGAGTACACCTAGTTTCAGCAGTGTCACAACAGTGGATGTTCATAAAACAGTCCTGGGATCACAGCCTGTTTAGCCAAGCCTTTTGTTGTTGTTGTTGTTGTTGCTGCTGCTGCTGCTGCTGCTGTTAAGGGCCACAATAAATCTCTCCTCATATGATGACACAAAAAAGGGAAGCCAGATACAAAAAGAGGGGAGGGGGGAGGATTCTTGTGTCTCTTACAGTTGTGTGAAAGGTCCGCAAGTATGTTAGCTTGGCAAGAGAAGTTACGCTTGCTGCAGTTACCTCTTCTGTGCAGTTTATTAAATGCATAGGAATCCCATTCTATTTGGCCATTTTGTTCCATAAATAGATATACAGTGCATCACAAAAGACATCAAGCATACGGTAACAGTGTATGAAGGAATTTTTGATGTCATATAACTGTCAGTGTCCATGCCAGACAGGGGGTTCTGAGAATGCTTATCCAAAAGGTAACATATCTATTTTACTGTTTTGAAGCTTTGTATCTGCACATACATGTGAAGATGTGCCATTTTCTGGGTTCTATGAAACTTTTTTTTTTACATGGATACTCATCTTGCAAACACAATGAACTTTACAAATCATAGAATAATTGAGTTGGAAGGGGCCTATAAGGCTACTGAGTCCAATTTTCTTCTCAATGCAGGAATCCAAATCAAAGCATATCTGACAGACGGTTGTCCAATTTTTTCTTGAATGCTTCCACATCACAAAGATGTGATGCCATTTTTTAAAAAAGTAAAACAACAGTAGTAATAAAAGCACCGTCCAACTTTACAAATCATAGAATAATTGAGTTGGAAGGGGCCTATAAGGCTACTGAGTCCAATTTTCTTCTCAATGCAGGAATCCAAATCAAAGCATATCTGACAGACGGTTGTCCAATTTTTTCTTGAATGCTTCCACATCACAAAGATGTGATGCCATTTTTTAAAAAAGTAAAACAACAGTAGTAATAAAAGCACCGTCCAAACTGGATGCATCACAAAGATGTGATGGCATTTTTTTAAAAAGTAAAACAACAACAGTAGTAATAAAAGCACCGTCCAAACTGGATGCTACAAATGAAACACCTTTAAGTCCAATTCACCCCATCTGTATCACAACAGAAGGGGCTCATAGGCAAAATAAAGTAGGGTAGATGTCTCTTTAAAGCAAAATGGATCAGGGACAAAGTTTCAGATATTTTTATCACCCAAGGTAGAAGATTTACAGCAGAAAGAAAAACAGCTCCAGGTATGCAATCTTTTAAGGCTCTAAACCAAGGTGGTACAGGTCTGTATCACCCTCCAGGGTGACAGCAGTTCCTGCTCTCTTCCTTTCTCCTCCTAAACTAGAATTCAGAATCACAGCCTCTTCCTAAGATTTCGTCTACCCACTAGGCTGAACCAACTAGTCTATAGAGGATAATTAGCACAACAGTGAAAATTGCACCATTGAATTTTAGGATTTTTTTTTCCTTTTAACTATGGCACTTGGGCTTGATACAAAAAGTTTTATGATAAAATTGGGAACAACTGCATTAAATCTACATCTCCTTAGCACACCATCATTGATTTCCTTTTGAAGCTGAGAATGTTCATTGTGTTCTCCCATTAAGATCTTGTTTTCCCTACTAGGACCTGCTCCTGAAGGAATTACTGACAAAATTTTCCAGATCAGCAAGACTATTGAAGAGTATGCAATATGTCCAGATTTAAATGTAGATCTCGGCACCATTGGGAAACAGCAGTTTGACTTGGAGAACAAGTTTAAACCCTTTACAGGCAAGTAAACCATTCTTTTTTTTTTTTAAAGAAAATCTTTCTTGTTAATGAAAGAAACTCACTTGCACTAGGTAGTAATTTAAATATTGTGTTAATATTTCACAAGGGTTTCCAGATGCAAATGAAGCCAAGACCCCTGTACCTTTAGTAGATTTATGGAACAGGGTATTTCAGCACCTGGGGCTTGCGTGGCAAACTGTTTCACCTGCTGAAATACCTTCTTCTGCACAACCATTAAAAATGTAGGAGCCCTGTCCTTTCTTGGAGCATTTAATGCCCTGCAGGTGATGGAAACACTTTGTGTCCCTTATTGTAATGTTCGCATTCCCTTTTTTAATATTCATTGATTCATTAAAATTTGAGAATCATATTACTCCTTCCTCTCTTATTAATGTTAATATAAATGGCCCCTGAAAGATCAGAAAGTTCTTGTGCAGCTCTGTTTTTTGGCAGAAATGTAGGATATAAATTTAATAAGTTTGGGAACATGTCAGAAGGGTGGTCCCTGAAGTTACAAATCCTTTAAAAATGTCCTTGAGTTACAACAACAGTGGGGTATAGCAATATTTCTATGGTATGTACGTTTATAATGAAGCAGAACATGTGTTCCTTTAGATAATTGTTTCTTTTCTTTTTTAGTTGAAATTGTGGATTCAGTGGAAGCTTACGCCAACATGTTAAGGAATATTTTTGATTTTAGTGCATTAAAAGAGTTACTCTCTGGTTCAAAGCATCTGAAGATTCGGATAGATGCCATGCATGGAGGTATGTGGGATGAATGAAGAAGTGCTATATCATAACCTTTGTGTTCTAGCTGCTGCAAGACAAATTGGTGAAACTATTTCAGCCGAAATGCAAAATGCAATTTCAGGGAAGTTCTTTGGAGAACTTATACACACACAAAGATAGATAGATAGATAGATAGATAGAGAGAGAGAGAGAGAGAGAGAGAGAGAGAGAGAGAGAGAGCGTGGAAAGCACCTTGCAGTGGGGACATGACCATCTGGGGAATTCCAGGAGGGGTGGATTCAGTCGCGGGCCTGAGGTTACCCAACTCTGCTTTGTTGTAGCTCAGTTTTATAATTATAAAATCCCCTGTTAACTGAAGTGTATCCAGGGTGGTGTAGTGTAGTGGATAGGTCTCAGGAGACTGAGGTTCAAATTCATAATCAGCCAATGAAAACTCTGTTTGTTAGTGGTGGACTTGGTAAAACCACTCCTTAACTTTGTCATTTGCCTTGAAAATCTTGTTAGGGTTGCTATAGGTTGGTTTCAGCTTGATGACACAGAACATACACACTAACTGCAACCATTTTCCAGCTACATCTTTAAACAGAGTAGAATGATATTTATGTGTCAGTAATTTACACAATGTTTGCTCATCTGTTCATGCATTGCTGAATCAGTTGTTGGCCCTTACGTTAAAAAGATCCTCTGTGAAGAACTTGGTGCACCAGCAAATTCAGCTGTGAACTGTGTACCTCTTGAGGACTTTGGTGGCCACCATCCTGATCCAAACTTGACCTACGCTGCTGACCTGGTCCAGACCATGAAGACAGGAGAATATGATTTTGGAGCAGCCTTCGATGGAGATGGGGTATGTTTAGATATCATCCTCCACACAAAAAAACAAAAAAACAACAACTGATAAGCACAACTCCTGCCAACATATGGAACTTTACATAATTGATGTATTTATAAATAGCTGAATGAGCGCTACCTTTGGTAGAAGCAAACAGAACTTGCATTAACATCTCTATGGTTCAGAGCTATGAAGGAAATTTGTTCAGTGCTGAACATCACTTCAGAAAAATTAAGTTGCAGGGTCACAGTTTGTATATTTTTATATGCAAAGTAGGGAAATGTTATGACCAGCAGTCTAGAAATTATGGCAGGGTCTTTATAATTAGCTAAGGCTTCCATTTACCTCAGACAGGGATGGCAGCTTATAGCTTTCCACATATTTTGGGATTTAGCTGTCAAGAGATCCCAACATGATTGATGCTCAGAGATTATGGAAGTTGTAGTCTAAAATACCTGGAGGGCTGAATGTTCCTTACCCTGATTTAAGATGATGAGTTAACCCTACCTTTGGTAGAAGCAAACAGAACATGCATTAACATTTCTATGGTTCAGAACTTTAAAGTTTGACTCATGTTGTCAAGACAGCCTAATTCATATTAGTCATTAATTTACATATGTAAAACCTTGCATTGAGTAAGTTTGGGGGCGTTTTTTGATCCAATGGGAATTCAATACATGGAGTTAGTGTTATGACTTCAGTTCATTCTATGTATCTTGTACCCAGTTGAATTGCAAACTGCTCCCTATCCTGATCAGTTCCAAAATAAACCATGCCCACTGCTGCAGCTTTCCATAACTGATACCTAAAGAACCTTTCAAACCTGCCTTTATAACTATAGATCTCTGTGAGCTGTTTTGTGGCATGGAAAAATGCCCCCTTTTTACAGAACGTCATGGTCACTTTGTCAAGAGAAATACCGTATGTCTAGTGGAATGTCCCAACTCTGTACATCATTTGGGAGCATGTTAAAGCCCCAGTCTGGTTTCCTCCATATAATAGGATTGATTCAAAAGACTTGCAATTCATTTCCTATAAATCTCTACTCAAGAGTAAGTGCCAGCCAATTTTAAGTGCCAGATTCTGTTTTCATTAAACCTGATGTTTCTTTTATTGATGTTTGTTGTGAGTGGTACTTGTATTGCTTCTGTAAAAACTGACCTTTTCTTTCTCTGCCTTTACTAGGATCGCAACATGATTCTTGGAAAGCATGGATTCTTTGTCAACCCTTCTGACTCTGTAGCAGTTATTGCTGCAAACATTTTCAGTATTCCTTACTTTCAACAAACAGGAGTTCGAGGTTTTGCCCGAAGCATGCCGACAAGTGGAGCCATTGACAGGTAGCATTAAAGAGGTGCCATGCCTTTTTGAAAGAGCCTCTCATTTTGTCTGCTGCTGCTGCTACAAGCTGGCGATTAGCTGTTTGTGGGCATTTGTGCCCCCCTATCTTTCCCTATGTATGCATATGGAGATAACTGTAGGAACTAGATAATGAAATAACAGAAATAAGGATAATTACTTTCCAGCCATGCAGGGTGATTTGTTAATGATTTGTTAAAATGATTTAAATCATGATTTATGTGGTGCACAAGCCTCCCTAAGGAGCGCTTGGCACTTGGTCAGAGAGTTCCACAGGCCACTTACCTACCACCTTTGCAATGAGGCAAGTTCCAAGACCTCAGCAGTGCGTAGCTTAAGCCCCTTGAACAAGCCTGACCTTAAAAGAACACTTTACTTTTACCCAGCACTTTGCAAGTACAGACACATGGGTTTTGTGATTCCTTAGAATTCACAACTGCTCAGTTAGGGTAGGACTCTTAATGATAGCTAGTTTGTGGCCCTCTCCACTCTCCTGGATTTAGCCAGACCCTGTTGTTCAAGAGACCAGTCCTTTGTAAGGATTTTTATAATTATTTTTTATTAGAAAAATAGAGCTTTATAGAATCAGTTTATATTGCTCAAGCAATCCTTTCTACATTCTCTAACCCCTCCCTTCTTCTTGACACTTCATGGCTGTTAACCAATTAGCCTCAAGGGGCTGTAACACCTTCCTCCGCCCTCAATTCCCATGAAGATCCAGGTGTTTTATCTCTTCTCCAATTAGCTCGGAATGTTAATTTCACAGGCCCCTTGGCCCGACCTTCAGCTTTATCACGAATCATGCAGTACCAGTCTTCAGAAAAACACATTCCAATGTCTCTCAAATCATCTTCACACAGAACCTGTCTGACTCCATTTTACATTTCTCTGACTCCCATACTGCTACAAATCCATCACAATTTAAATCAAGTCCACCCTTTAGCTAAGTGAGTTGTTTCATAGCACTTCTAAGAGTGCTATGAAGATTTGGTGTCCTCTTATTGGGAGAAAGATGTCATATAAATAAAACAAAAATATAAATAATATAAACAAGGCATGGTGAATATGTGATCCTCTGGATGTTGTTGGACTGCAGTTCCCACCAGTTCTAGCCGATATGCTGGAAGTTGAACTCCAACATCATCTGTAATAGGAGTTTCCCATCTCTAGTTAAGGTAATTCTAGATTAGGCATGCACAACTCCTGCTCAGTTTGCTGATATAACTGGAAGTAAAAGCTGGAACCCTGTTGTTTTAAGCAGGTGCATGGATGCATCGGAGACACAGAACTGATAATAGAACTGGGGAGGAGATGGAAAACATTTGGGTGACAGTTTAGAAGAGGATTGCTTTGGCTTCAGGAGCAGGCAGATGTTTGTTCCATAGGCATCTTTTTGCAGTGTACCATCTCTTGTGTTTTTGGCGCCCTACGCTTGAAGTGCATGATGTGGGAGTAGAATTAGTAGGAGACAGGACAGAGTTGTCGTGCTTTATAGCAAACCACTGGAAGAGGTAGCAGCTTCTCTGAGCCTTCTGATCGATCTGTGACCTAGGGAAAGATGTTCACTGATGTTATAACAGCAAGAAGCAACTTGTTTTTCTTCACCCAGCATTAGAAAAAGTGTGCAGGGGATTGCAAGGGGTGGAGATGTTAAATAGTGGAGGCAGGCAAAAATACATAAAGAAAATCCAACCTGCCAAAATGACCTTGACATTTTTTGTTACACCCGTCAAGATATACTTTTTGCTGAGGAATTTTTAGCAATTTTGATCTCAACAATCACCCAGTTGATTACTAATCTCCCTGTGAAACTCGATATCTGACTGGCCAACTCTTTGCTTGATTTTGGGAGGACTGTTAAAACTTTCTTCTTTAAGATGACCCTTCCCCTTTGGAGTAATATCTCTTATTTCAAATGTTGGCTGGAGGTATGTTAGTTTAAATCAATTTGTCTCTGATTTTAATTGGGTTTGTTATAATTCATGTGTGCGAGTCATTTCAGAGCCAATGATGACTGAGGGGGAAGGGTGCATTTAGAGGAAAATGGAAAATAACCTTAGAAATTCATTCTTGATATGCCAACTATTGCACAGAATAATTGGCTAGGATCCAAGCATTTGGCGATGCTTAATGAGATTCTGACCTTTTTCTTTTACTGCCAAACAAAACATCGTTCTGAGACTCCTCTCCAGTTTCAAAAGTGGCTTGCCATGCAACTTATTCAGGAAACCAAGTCAAAAGAGCCCCTTTAGGCACACGAATCAGGTTACATAGTCTTTGGGGGCCTGGCCTGGCTTGACAGTGTTTTCCATAACATTGAAGTGCAGTTACTTTCCAGTCACCTCTTCCTATCTGGTGACTCAAGTAAAGTAAGCGCACGTGCATGGAAGAGATGACTTATGACATGTGGGATGCCCAATGGCAAATACTCTTTCAGTGCTTAGCAAAGTTTCTTTTGGACTACAACTCCCAATAAGCTTTGTTCAACATAGTCACTGCTCACACTGACTAGGGGTTTCAGGGACCTGGTGTCCAAAATAGTAACTTTGCCCAGTGGTGGCTTGTTTTTCCAGAAAGAAAGAAAACTGAGAAGTAATTATGTTAGCCCTAAGACAAGTTTCAAAGTCTTTATTGTGGGCAATACCTTCAGTAATGCTGACTCTCTCTCTCTTAAGGGTGGCCAAAGCTACAAAGATTGCTTTATATGAGACTCCAACAGGTTGGAAATTCTTTGGAAATCTCATGGATGCAAACAAGCTGTCTCTATGTGGAGAGGAGAGTTTTGGTACAGGTAAGAGACCAGCCTTAATACCTGATGACTTTCATTTCAAGGTTTGCACCATGCTTTTCTTCCCAAAAGGAGGATCAAACTGATCCTGAATAACTTGCCAAATCAAATACAACTTTTAGGAAGTTCCTTTTTTGCACCTCTTTGAGATTAATGTAGAAAATAATTAGATTTAATGCAAAAATTTAAAAAATTGATTTAATGCAAAGTACAAATTTCAGCACTCTGATCATAATTAGCATGTGTGTATTTGCATGCTGCTAACATACGTTGTACTTATAAGATGTTAGTTTCAGCTTCAAAGTCATCTGCTTTTACTCTATCACTGGTTCACTTTTAAATTTTTTTTACATGCTACAGGATCTGATCATATTCGTGAAAAGGATGGACTCTGGGCTGTTTTAGCTTGGCTCTCAATCATAGCAGTCCGCAAACAGAGCGTGGAGGAGATCTTGAAGGATCACTGGCAAAAATATGGGCGCAACTTTTTCACCAGGTGAGATCATCCTATGTGATGTGAGAATCTCCTCGTGACAATTTTGTGCATTTGAAATGTGATTATCTGTAATGAACAGAAACTCCACAGTCTCACCTTCCATGAAAAAAATGACTGTGTAGGGGAGTTGATGTTACTTGGAGCTATAAATTGTGCCATATTTTTGAATGTAAACTCTGTATGGATTTTGCCTTTGTGCAACTCGTAGAATTCTGTAAAGTAAAATCATCAAAGAATCTTATTTCATCTTTAAAAAACAAATTTTGTTTCATCTAAACTTTGATTGACTACCACAACTTCATCATACTTTACACTTGAAAGTTTATTCCAAGTGAAATTTTGAGCCTTTAAAGTGCCACAAGGCTTTGTTGGACTTTGCTGCAACAGATTTAACATAGCTATCTCCTCCTGCCCATAAATTTTTGTAAATGAAAATATTGCACTTAGATATGAAGGTTAGAGTGTGTAGATCTGTGTTCTTGGACTACAGCTCCCAGAATTCCACAGGTGCTGGGAAATTGGAGAATTGCAGCTGAGATCTGTACACTTCTAATGAAGGCAAGGATGTTGCTCATATTCCGTGAAGAGGTCAAGCATTCTTTGGCTTCCCATAAAATGATTGGCTTTTGTTACTTGCATATGTTTTGCATTCCTTTAAAAAATCACTGTAGTCAATTAAAAGAAAACAAATTAAAACAAAAACCACATTATAATGAGAATAAAGTGGGTGTCTGAATAAAGTGGTTTTGACTGATCAGAATTTATTACTACAATATTTGAAATATGTAATACCACTGCTGCCATTTAACTGTGGTGAGAAGGCACAAAAGTAGAAATTATTTAACGTTGCTTTTGCAAATGCTAAGTATTATGTCCATTATTTCTAGCATATGTTCTGACCTGTTGTTCTGTTTTCCAGAAGACTTGGTTGATGTGAAAGGTGAAAACTAAGGGCAAAATCTTTTTGTGTAGTTATGCAAATAGCATAGTTTTTGCAGACTAATTGCCCCAAGTTATGAGTTATGCACACGTTAGTGTGCAGCTGATAATGTCTATGGTGATTTCTTAACTTGGGATAATTCACTTCCTAAATCTATGCCATTTGTGCTACATCAGTATAACTAGGTAAGAGGATTTTAGCCAATCTGACTTCTATCTAGAGTTAAATGATCAGATGGAATTCTCATTTATTTCAGTGGGCCTTCTGCTAGTTGTGATTTACTTTTCCCACTGATTTCAGTCTGTGCAAATTCACTTTACTTAGTTGGGCTCAAACCACAAATTTATAATCTAGCAAAAGACTGGTGCTATATCTGGCATATTTTCCTATTTAAATCTGGCATGTAAGAAGTCAAAGAAACCGTTTCTGAGTTATAAAGCAAGGCTATTGAATTGCAACCAAAAGGCAATTATCTCCCAAGTGAATTACATCAGAGTTTCAACTGTCAAACATTTCTATGGAATCACTGCTCCTATTTATGAATGTGGAAAAGTTTAACCAGTAAAGAATCCCAACAAGAATTGCATAAAAACGAAAATGTAAACAACCCAAGCAAAGCACAAAAGTTTTGTTTATACTTATCTATTATCTTATCAAAATCTCTCTGACTACTCTTTATAGATATGACTATGAAGAAGTGGATGCTGATGGTGCTAACAAGATGATGAAGGATCTGGAAACGATGTTCTTTGACCGTTCTTTTGTGGGGAAGCAGCTCTCAGCAGGTGACAAATCATACACTGTGGAAAAAGCTGATAATTTTGAATACAGTGATCCTGTAGATGGAAGCATATCAAGAAACCAGGTACAAAATTTATGGCACTTGCTGCAGATTTATACATTTTGAAATATATGTTCTGATATGATTGCTATTATTGCTTAACATGTGTATTTCAAGTCCCTTTCATTGTGATTCCCTTGGACACTTGCATACCATTTTCTTTCATTTAAATCTTTCCCCAGTCTTATTTTATATGAGTGTCACAGTATTATGCCATGCTGCAGTAGAAGACTCATGAATAGAGTATAAGTCTTACCATATTTGTTATTTTTATGGCCCCAAAGGACTTTTATAATCACAAGAACACTAAAGACCTTTATTGACTTGTCTCTATTGTGAAACTTGGTTAAAAGAATACTGTTAAGAGCCTCTTACATTCGATAACATGACCTAAGTTCCTTTCTCCACATGCCAAGGGAGGTAAACATATATTTTTCAGGCACTGGATCATCTTCAGAGCTTAGGCTTCTGCAGAGCTGGTGCAGACAGGCCAACAAGAGCAGAGCTTGAGAAATGTCTTGTTTTGACTACAATTCCCATGCTGCCTGCAGTATTCTGAGAGTTGTGGTCCAGAAACGTAAGCTATCCAAGCTCTGAGCAACAGTGACATGGTAGCTGTACTAATCATGAAGGCAAATGTATTTCAGAAGCAACCTGACACAACTCGTGTCTGTTTTATTTGAATGACAGTGAATATGGAAACTGTGAAGTGGACCCATCCACCTGATTGGGTTTCAGTGGAGCTCACCTGGGTATGATATTGCTATTATGCTCCCTTTTGCCTCAAGTTCCCAGCAGCCTCTCTGAAAGGACAGAAGGAGAGGAAGCTGCTGCACTTCTTGATGGCTTTGTCAAGCCCTTTTGTTTTGCCATATCTGGTGAAACTTTCTGTGAACAACTCTGATTTCTTGTTGTTTCATTCTTTGTCTTTGCTCTAACCGGTCTCTTCTCTTGGCTCCTTTCCTGGGTTTCCTTTGTTCTCAATCTTGTTCACAACTCTTAGTATGTTTTCCATCCCCTAGTTTGTCAGCTTCCGGGAAACATATTTTCCCAGTCCACTTAGGTCAAGCAAGCCCCTGGCAATTATGCCTTGAAGATGTGGATCCAATCCCATTCAACTGCATTTCCCTTATTTACAACAAGTGACGTCAGGGCCATCCCAAAGGATTTAGCTGCTGGAGGCAGAGCTGAAAATGTTACCGCTCCCCAAAAGTCAAGGAATGATGAATAATCAACTGATCAAGATATTTTGGCACTGATATATTAGCAGTGCAAATACAGGCAAAATAATTTGTGTGTGTGTGTGAACATGTATGTATGTATGTATGTATGTATGTATGTATGTATGTATGTATGTATGTATGTATGTATGTATGTATGTATGTATGTATGTATGTATGTATGTATGTATGTATGTATGTATGTATGGACAGTTGCATCACTGTGCCTATGGGTACAGCCCTCCATAATATACTTGTAAATACATGAACTCAGAAGGACAAGTCTTCTATATTCTTACTTTAATTTTATGAAGTAGTGGCAGAAAGATATTTCATCTTTACATCTTAATAGAAGTTCCCGTTCAGTGGTCAGAAAGCCAGCTTGTGGCAGTTGATAGAGCATCAGAGTAGCACTTGGGAGACCAGGATTCAAAGTCCAGCTCAGCCATGCCTGCTCCCTAGGAAGCGGCCATTCTTGGAACATCTTACATGCCTTGGAAGTCCTATTAGGGTTGTCATAAGCTGAAAGTGACTCAATGGCATGTAGTGGCAACATAGCTTGGCTTCTTCCCCCCACCCCCCTGAGAATGTGGCAAGATGATTAGACTATCATGATTAGAAGCCTGACGTTGCTGCAGAAACCTGATAAAAACCTATACACCTATGAACTTGAGACTAAACGAATGGATTACAGGACATATAACTTGTTATCATGGTTTTATTTAACCAAGATGATTAGACTATCGTGATTAGAATCCTGAAGTTGCTGCAGAAACCTGATTAAAAACCTATACACCTATGTACTTGAGACTGAATGAATGGATTACAGGGCATATAACTTGTTATCATGGTTTTATTTAATTTGTGGTCCTTTTGCAGTACCTGTGGCTCTGTTGGGCAAAATGAGAATCTGAAAGTCCTGCTCTTTTCCACCGGGACTATTACAAGATTGTCAAATTATCTCATACAGCTGCCAAAGGAGGCTCTGCGGTGCTGCATTGTTGTTTCTTGGGTGTGTTCACAAAGTTTTTGATATAGAGTGGCTTTTCAAGAAAATTGTATATTTGTTTGTGTGTTTTTAGGGTCTGAGGCTCATCTTCACTGATGGTTCTCGTATCATCTTCAGACTAAGTGGCACAGGAAGCGCTGGAGCAACTGTGCGCCTCTATATTGATAGCTATGAAAAAGATGCACCAAAAATATATGAGGATCCACAGGTAGATTTTTTTTGTTTGTTTTTTTCACCAAGAATTGCATCTGATTCCAGTTTCATTAGAGAATCCTTTTCTTCCTTGTAGTAAGGCTGAGATTTCCATAAGCCTTAGTTAGCTTAGATAGCCTCTGATCATCATAATAACTGGTACTGTTTTATATATAAGGACTTGTTTTTCTTTATAAGTTATGAATATTTGCAGAGATTATGAAACGTTGTCTTAGACTATGTCTGTAGCTATACTGGTTGAGGATTCTGGGGGTTGCAAACCAAAAGAATAACTTTCCAAACACTGTTTATATATAAGAAACATACAGTTGTCTTGGTATGGAAAAGTAGAGTGGGGGAAGGCTCGAAAAAGACTTACAGAGGATCATTGTGAAGGATATAAAATACCCAAATCCTTTTGGCTCTGGCTTCAGAACCTTCAGGAGATTATCCTTACAAAATCAAACGTTTATTTTTACAGTATAACCATGAGTGCTAGAAATTTCTTTATTCAAACAAATATATGCTTCCATATATTTCTTCTGCATTCCCTCCTCTTACTTTTTTTTGTGTTGTTGTTGTTTTGCAGGTCATGTTGGCTCCTCTCATCAACATTGCACTGAAGCTTTCCCAGCTTCACGAGAGAACTGGGCGCACTGGCCCCACTGTTATCACATAAAGAGAAAACTGGAAACCATTTGGATACATGCCATTGTGTGATGTCCCTTGCCAATTGGAATCAACCCATCTTCCTTGCTGTTGTCAGATTTATTCCTAAAAATGCTAACCATGTATTCAAAAAGCACTGTCAAATGTTCAAAGCATAGATGTGATATATTTAAGAGTTTACACTATGTGTATGCTGATATACATTGTCTCTTTAATGTCATCTGGTACCTTTCTAATTTGTGCATAATACCTTTTTTTTTTTTTGCCTTTTGGTTCACCATTGATTCAAAAGATGTCTGTAAAAGCAGCAGCAACAACATAAGGAGGAGATCATAACGTTACTGTTTCTCAGGAGCTCCTCTGAATTGCCTCTGCACAAAGTTGTTTTTCCCCTTTTGGCAATGTGCTGATATATCCTTTTAAGTTTTGTGCCACAAATGTACAATCACTGTGAATGATAATCAATCTCCACTCCCTGTGGAATGTTTTGGTTCCAAAGGAAAGAAACAAGATCTGTAACCTGAACTCTGTGTCACAATTCAGTCTTGGACAAAGATTCCACTGCCATTCATGCACAGAGGTCACTACTAATGCAAGCATTAATAAGACATTAAAGTGAAATAAATCAGTATCTTTGTCAGATAGTGGGCTTTTTCAAATTATAGCATGCATTGCATGGGATTGGTTTGAAAAACTACATGTTCAAGCGGAGTAAAGAGCCAGATGAGACATTTTTAACTTTCACCACGGTTTTCCATCTTAAGCGTCATAGACTGCCACCTCTACTGCTTCCTGGTCCGGCCCTACCATTCACCATAGTGGCAATGGACAGCTCCCTTATGAATGGCACTGTTTTCACGAGGTTAACATCATAATGAATATATGCCACCCAGCCTGAATGATATAGAATTGTAGCAAAGATCAATCAAGGATTCCTGTTTATCCAGCCACCAGCAAGGCTTCCCCCTCCTGCCCCGAAGGATTTTCTTTTTCATGGTGCCACTTCTTATGTGAGAATCATGGCTTTTTTAATGTAACTTTTATATAGTCTCTCTCCCTCCCCACTTCCGTTTTGATAGCACTAAAAACTTAACTGCCTGAGTGATGGTAAGTATATGAGGCTGCTCCCTTAAGAGAGAAGACTCTGACAAGGTATCTCTCATTTCCCAGTTAACATAAGATAATTCATTGATTCATACTTGACTTACATGAGGCTTTTTAATGATAAAAACAGAGCCAAGCCACACAGAAGTCTTAGAAGTAGAGTCATTTACATGGAGGATTCTTAAAAGTGTCTCTTCGGCTCGACTTCTTTTTTATCCACAACCATTTCTCTTTTTTGTTTCATTAACAACCTGGGCTTGCTTCAAGTGAAATGAGTGACAATAATAGATTGGGTCCTTCCTCCTGAGTCTTCTAATACTATTTGCACGTTCAAACTTCCTGCACTTTGCCACTAACAGGAGTCCCATAAGCAACATGGCAGTATTTTTTCTAGATGTGTCGGGAACTATTAAGGAAAGCCATTGCTGTGGCTTTTGCAAAACTAATCATGCTGCAAGCACAGTCCCTGTTGCCAAAAGAGACCAGATGGAGCATGTAATGAGGCCTTTAAATTCCGCTCAGGTGTCTTTCTTCCTCTTACCCTTTAATGTGAAAGCTCCAGCTATAATTGTAGGTGGCAGGCTCTCCAATTTAGAACCTATTCTAAATATTGAGTCTCATGAAAGAGAAAAATAGTTGATCTCAGTTTTATGCAGCCACCAGGTCAAATCTTAATACAAAATGATAAATTCTCATTCCACCTTAAATAGTGAGAGTCACCGGTTTTTTCACAAGCACACTGAGGTTGCAGCACAAAATCAGGGCATAGTTAATGAATGTGGGGTTTTTTTTTTAATGTGCTATATCAATCAGGATCAAAGTATGCCTTTCTAAGAGCTTTCCAACAGAATTGATATGAAAATATTTACCACATTTGCTCTAAGCCTACTTACTGAGAGGCAAAACCCATTTAATTCAATGAAACTTACTTCCGAGGCTCTGATTGGCATACGCCCTTTCAGACTTCAGAAGCCTGAGCCTAGGCACATTTATTTAGATAAGTGTCTCAGTTGTTCAAGACTTATCCTTAGGTGAGAGGGCACAGGCTGCAGTCTCGGGTTTCCTTTTGCTATATCTGGATAACATTTATTTTTCTAAATTTTATAATCACATCAAAAAGTGTCAGGTTTATCAATGTCCCAAAAATCTCTCTAAGCAGCGGTATGTGCATCTCCAAGTTCCTTCCCTTTGTTTAGGTCCTCATGCAGTATGTATGCCTGGATGGTTTTTAGGGAAGGTGTTGTGTAACTGAGGAGTACGTTTCCAGCACGTCCATCCATTGGAGCAAAACCAACAAAGAGCCTTGTGGCACCTTAAAGACTGCCAAGTTCTGCTTGGCATGATCTTTTGTGGCCTGCAGCCCACTTCAGAGGCATCCGAAGAAGCAGGCTATGGTCCCTGGAAACTGGTGCCAAATAAAATTTACTAGTAATGACAGTACCATAAAAATCTTAATAGTACACCAAGTCTTGTTTTAGGTTTTTCTGAATGAGATTTTAAAAAAATATTCCAAAAGCACAGCTCACAAGTGTAAAATTCTTGGGAAGTGTACAAGAGAGCGACATTTCAGTTAAGGTCCACTCCCTTTCCCTCAGGTTTTATTAAAAAATGAGTACTTCCTGCTTTGCTCCCTATAAAAGATGGTGTCTGTAGCCTGCATGTATGGTGCATGGCCTGTAGAGGCCACTGTGATCCCTATGAAATTCTGGCCTTTTTCCCTCTGTCCTTGAATGTTTTTTGAGGGTTAGCAGGTCAGATAGCAAGGTGCACACAACTGTACACACTCACCTGAGATCAAGATCTACATAACTCCAACTTACTTCTAAGTAGACACATATAGGATTGCACTGTTAATGATGTAGTGTGGGCAAAAACGTTTTAAGAAGAGGAGGCAAATTTCTGGATTAGCTAGGACTGGTTGGTGGATTAAAGAACATAATGGCATTATGAGCAGTCAAATTATGATGAGGCTTGAGTACATCTCAAAGGTATGTGAGACATTTAAAGGATGGTTTTAGTACTGCTACCCTCCACGGCGAAGCAGGAATTTGAACCCACACCTACTGAAACCTAGTCTGCAACTCTGTTATTCGCTGCTGTTGAAAAGATTTTTCAAAATTTAATTTGTGAGTTCAGCAGAAGAAAGATTCTTAGTTTTTAGATGATGCCTGAGCATTAAACATAAAGCAATAAAAGAAACTAGCTTCAAAGTTTCCAAAGCCAGTTTGGCCCTCCTTGGCTGCAGAGGATGCAATCTGTTGGCAGATGTTTGCCAGCAGCGAACAGAGCAAGGGCAAAAAAAGAAGGCAAGCCATCCCTTTTCCGCCTTGCTTTCTCTCTCTCTTTTTCTTCCAGCTGAGCAAGCTGCTGGAAGAGCAACCCACCATGCTTGGTTCAGTTGGACTCCCCAAAGGAGCTCATTTCAGCCCTGCAGATTTCCAAATACAAGCGAACATACATTTGGAATGCTGTGTGTGTGTGTGTGTGGGGGGGGAAACTGAGCACCTCCTACCCTGCCAATTTGGGGACTTCCACTTCTCTGGAAGCAACATTTCCATTCAGGTAATATTATATGCTTCTGCCTCTAATTCCTCTTCAGCTGTCATGTAGGAAGCCCCTCTGTTGAAGGTGAAACTGCATCAGAATTCTGTCCAATGTCAAAATTGCCTCTAAAGCAAGTTAAAGACGCCTATGCCGAGGAATCTAAAGGAACTAAGTAGCTGCTGCCATCTGAAGCCGCTTGAAGTCTGTCTAGCCACATCTAACTTTAAAGAACAAAGCACGACACCTAACCTTTCAAAGATGATTGTTTAGCTATTGTGTACTAGACACATCCCCTCATCAGTACCCATGGACTTCCTTGTGGTTACAGCTGTCCCACAGTTGTTCTGTATACTGTATATGTCCTGACCTCTCTCACAAGACTACTGTTCTGCACAGCTGAACAGTAGAAGATTGTGTTCCTGCAAGCTAAGGACAGGATGTGCTTGTATCCCTACTGAATTCATAGCTTTGTCTCTGAAGTCTGAAAGAGATCATCTTTATGTGAACCAACATATAAACGAATTAGAGAATTAGATATTCTGTAACAGTCAAAATCAATCATGTGCTTTTTGGGAGGAAATTAGACATTTTCCCCTCTTGAAAAAGTGACACTTTGAGAAAGTACTTTTTCACTGCTAGTAAGTAGACAATTTCCCTGAAACTTTAGTTTTTAAAAGTTATTCTTGAAAATAATTTCCACAGGGGCAACCATCATGAACCAAGTAAGGGGTTGCCTCTTCACAAAGGTTCACCCCTCCTCCAATTACATTCCCCTCTGAGGTAATTGTATTGTTGTTTGGCTGTAGACCAGGGCTAGACAACATTCCTGATTGGGTAGGCCATTTCACCCTGAAACCATGAGGAGCACACCCTGCATACTGTTAGTAGTTTTACCATTAAAATCTAGTTATGCCACAGCAAAGAAACCATTACTTCAACTTCAAAAGTGAAAAAATACACTGTTTCATCTAAATAAGGTGCACACCCCAGGGCACCTTGTTTACAGGCAGGTTTGCACCCCTAGAAACGTCCCAGAAGCATGAATCTACTTGTCAACAAGGCAAGAGAGAACTAAAGAGCTTCTTTAAAGAGAGAAAATGTGCTTTTAAAGTGAAAGCGCTCTTCTTCTTGTTCTGCACCACCAAATTTCAGGAGCAAAACTGGCAACGGTAGGAGTGGCAAAAGAACTTTCTGGATTCCCAGAGGTGCAAATGAATGAAGGCTACAACAGGGCCGTGGGTTATGTGTTGCCCATCTCTACTGAGACAGTAGATTCTCTGATATCTTCCAAGAGGAGGCCCGAGGGATGCATGTGTATGTGTAGTGATCAGTAGGATATCTGGCAGTCCTTGCGAGTAATATTAGAAATTATTAGATAACAGCACTGTCATGTGAACCTGTTGCATTGCATTGATTTGGCAACTGTTCTTTAAACAGGCACATCTACAAGGGTGGATTGACTGTGAAACTAATGAAGCTTAAGTTCCAAGGCCTCAAATCTTGTAGGGGAAGTGGAGTGACTTTTAAAAAAACGCTGAGGTGATCTGTAATGGAACAACCCCACTGAAGAGGATAACAGTGGCTACCCAGATCTCATTGCTAGTAGCAAGGGGGCTCCCATAACAATTCAAGCTTCAAAACCCCAAATATGTAGGTCCACCACTGGTCATCCAGTCTTCCCAATAACACTGTGCACATCCACTCTTATGTCCAACCCATTGGCTTAGTTGAGTCCATTGTTCCAATTCCTCTCCCAAAGAGGAAGAGGGATGGCCCATCCCTTCCACAAACCTCTGCCCACCCAAGGCTGAACCCCTGGGGCTTCCAGTCACCTTGCTCAACCTTCCAATCAGGAACAGAACAGTGAAAGGGGAAATTTTTCTCTGTTCTCTTTGATCAGAGATTGGGGATAAGAGTGATACTTCCTCCATGCCACTCAATCTGTCCAACTGAGAAGGCCACTGGCACTCATAGGGATCTCTGCAGTTATCT